TAGAGCGTTAATTCGTGCGGTCGTCGAGATCGCTCGAGAAACTTCTTCGCTTCGAATCTTTGTTGATTCGACTTTCGAGCAATGTCGACGTCGAGAGCGAGTGTTTGTGTGCCGATGACGACGAGAGTCTTTCGACACAGAAAAAAGGCCCTCGTACTTGGTGTGTTACCCCTGATTCGTCGCTCGTTGCTGGGCCGATGTTATCGGCGAATCGCGTTATCGCTTCCAAAATCAAAGCCGCGAGCCGTTCGAGTTCGCGCGACGAAAGTCAGTACAAATCTGGAGAGCGACGCACAGTGGTCAATTGGAGAGTTTTTGAATAATTTTTTGTTCAAAAATACCTCCTGAAGGCCAAATATGAACGAATCAAGGAATTTTTTTTTGTAAATACTCATTACAGATTGTACTTTGATAGGTCACTGCCTAAATTTCGAAATGAACATAATCCAAAATGGTGGACGAATTAAAAAAATTTTTTTTTTATTTTCATGGAACACAGTATATAGGGGTTTTTTGGGTCGCTGAATACGAATATGAAGTCAGATTTTAAAAATTCAAAATGGCGGATCCAATATGGCAGACAAATGGAAATATTTTTTAATGAAACATAGCTTCTAAGGGTTTTCTGTTATCATATTTTTGTTGTAGTTATTATTTTATTTGTATAGGGTTAGTGAAATTCGTTAAAACAAAATTTGCAAAAGATTAACTTACAATCTCGACAAAATTTTTCTATTCTAACTCTCAAATGTTTGACCTTTGACGACTATGTTGAAATATTTAGGAATTCGGATTACTATACTTTATACTTACTATTGAACATTTAAATTTTGTCGAGATGATAATTTAATCTTTTGCATATCTTATTTTAAAGAATTTCACTAATTCTTTACAAGTAATATAATAACAAAACATAAATATGAAAAGTCATAAAAAACCACAAATAATAATAATTAAATAATAAAAAAAGTGCAAAGAAATATAAAACGACTCTTTTTTTGTCCAGTATCATGTGGTAAGAGTTGGGCAATGGCAGTATTGATGGGGAAAGGACAGATTATTAAGAGTATAAAATTCTATGCTATGAAAAATTGAAGGTATAATGAATATTGTCAATTGTAACAAGGTTTTTTCTTCAAGAAACATAACTGCAGCGGGTGAATATTATTGTTGACATTTTACGTAGTAGTGCATTTCACGCCCCCCCTCTCCTTCCGCTAGTCGCTGTATTTTTTGATACTGAATTAGAATTCAGTATTCTTTTCTGAAAGCTATAACTTACTTCTAGACATTACTTTTTAACAAAAAATTAAAAACTCAGAGAAAAATAACCAAATTGTAGTAACATGTTCCTATTATGAATATTCTATGTTGAATGTCAAAACATAATCAAATTTTTTTTTAATAAATAATTTTGAAGCACAGTTATTTCCGAAACCCGTCAGATATTCCCAATTCAAAATGGCGGACGAAAAATCCAAAATGAAACAAAATATTTTTAAATTGTATACTCGGACGTTATCGACAATTCAAACCTGATATTGCTCCTGATTCGCCACAGCTTCTTAGTCAGCCACTCAAATCTCCTTAGACAGCATATTTTAAAAGCTTAATAATTAATTTTTTAATTCCTCCGCCATATTGGTTCCACCATTTTAAATGTTAAAAATCGGACTTAATATTAATAATCAGAGACCCAAAAAACCCTCAGATACTATGTTTCATAAAAATAAAAAACAAAATATTTCCATTCGTCCGCCATATTGGATCCGCCATTTTGAATTTTTAAAATCTGACTTCATATTCGTATTCAGCGACCCAAACAACCCCTATATACTGTGTTCCATGAAAATAAAAAAAAAAAATTTTTAATTCGTCCACCATTTTGGATCCGACATTTTGGATTATGTTCATTTCGAAATTTAGGCAGTGACCTATCAAAGTACAATCTGTAATGAGTATTTACAAAAAAAAATTCCTTGATTCGTTCATATTTGGCCTTCAGGAGGTATTTTTGAACAAAAAATTATTCAAAAACTCTCCAATTGACCACTGTGCGGGTCGAGAGGGCTCCGTCGAAGCGTCCGAGCGAACCCGGCGCAAAAATAAATCATCTTAATTGTCGTTAACGGGGGAACCAGATCGAAGACTCCCGCCGCCGGCAACAATACGGTAGCGTTGAAAA